TAAACTAACTTAATAAAATATATTTAAATTATAAAATGATGTTATATAATATTCAAGTATATAAGACGTTGATATATAAGTTCAAATCAATAGTTTAATAGCAAATTCGCTAGAATTTAAACATGTTTTCTTAAGCTATTGATTCGTTTTTATCTTAAATTACTTCAATTACTTACGAAGATACCGATTTATTTTAAAGTCAAAAGTTCGAAAGCTTTATAATTAGTTTTTTTAGCTTAATACTATTAGCAATTATTAAATGTTCTAATCAATATTATATTTAAAACGTTAAAGAGATTAAGACTTTTAATACTTGGTAGTCATAGACCTTATAGTATTCTTAATAACAAAAGGCTAATCAAAATCTTTTGCGAATCGATTAAAATAAAAAGAAAACTTCTTTTATATAAACTAGATTCGTTTAAGCAGCTAAGAAATCAATAAAAGAGCTTGTAGTATGCTATAAAAAGTGCGATCGAGCTTTAAAGCATCCGAAGCTAAAGGCTTTTAAAACGAAAGCATTAGCCGATCATTAGAAAACAGATGTTTACAAACGCGTCGTAAGTAAGTTAAAACAAAAGCTTCGGCAAACTCAATTAAGATTTAAATCTCTTTAACGCAATTTAATACGTTTGTTTTTATTTATAAATTCGGTTAATAAATCTAGTAAATTTAATTAGTAAATCTAATTAATAAATCGGATTAGTAAATCTAATTAGTAAATCTAATTAATAAATTTGATTAATAAATCTAATTAGTAAATCGGATTAGTAAATCTGATTAATAAATAATAAAATTAATATTTAATAGACATATTTATCACGAAGAACGCTTTTGCATTAAGACTTAAAATCAGCATTTCGAAAAGGTGTTTTAAATATTATATTATCTACGCGAAGCTCGTTTCGAATAATTAATAACTCGGATTAAAAATCTTTTTGCGAATTATAAAACTTACATCTTAAGCTCTTTAATACTTTAATTATTAAACGAGACTTCGACGATAAGATTCTAGAAATTGATCGCTATTTACTAAACAATTTATTAGCTAATCAAAAACTTAGCATTTCATTAGACTATTAGTTTAGCATTAAGCGCTATTCTTTTATATGCATAATCGAAACTACAATTACAAAAGATTAGCATATGATTTAGCTTATACTTAGATTTATATACGTTAAGTTCAATTATATAAAAAAAGAATTAATAAGAATTATTTACGAACGCTTTATTAAATTAAGCTTAATAAAAAAGATAATCGCGATTATAACGGATAACGCATCTTCGAATAATATAATAATAAAAGAGTTGCTTAAATGCGTCGAAGATGCATTTAAAAAAAAGCTTTTTATAAGCTAAGAGATTCTATACGTTTCGTATATAACTTACGTCTTGCAATTATCTTTTAAAGCGTTGCTCGAACCGCGATTATCGCTAATAAACGAAAGCTTAAAAAAGCATTAAAAAGAAGATTTTGATATAAACGAGCTAAAAAAAGCAAGAAGACGCGATAAACGAAAGATTGCATATACACTTACGATTATAAGTTTTTTTTTTAAAAAAAATATTTACTAATTATATTTACTAATCATTGATTAACGTACTTAAGTTCGGAAGTTTATTAAGTATGTTACGGCTAGCTAACTTCGAAAATCGCGATTTAATAAAACGATAAAAGCTTTTATCGACGATTCAAAGCATCTTTTAACGAAAAGCTTAAAGCTTATTTTAAATGTTATTATAAAATAAGATTCTACATTCTATATGCTTAATCGATTTATAACTTTTAAAGATATTATTTAAAGATATTATATAAAAATCGATAAAATAAGTATTTTCAAATTATTTAATACTTAATAAAAGCAAATCTTATAGCTAATCGATATCCTTCGACCGTTTCACTTTTTAACTATGCATTTAAGTGAAGAGCTTAGTCTTATTATTCAATACGGATTTTTAATATTCGATAAAATATTCGAACGTTTAAATAAAGCACAAGCACGATTAAAGTTTAAATATATAAAGATTTCGAAAAAAGATCGCAATGATTTTAAATAGATCTTACAATTAAAAAAAAGCGTTATTAATGCTATCGAGAAATTAAATAAGTATTATAAGAAAACGCAAAAGCCGTTAAAAGATATTTTTACTTTCGCGATAATCTTATATTTTGCTATTAAGCTAAAGACTTTCGACTTAAATTTTTTTTAGCTTTACGAAAGTAAAGATTAATCTGCAATATATCGAGCGAGATTCGAAAAGCTTTTTAACGAACATTATAAGTCTTTAATATCTATAGCTTAACGTATTAATAATATTAAAGCAATCGATCGTCAATCGATAGCCGCTTTATTACTCCGCGGCAAATTAATATTAAGTTCTTTTTTACAAGCTTCTTTCGAAGATACAGATCACGAGTCGTCGAAAATGCATGATTATCTTTTAGCTCGTAAGTTTAAAATTTTAATTTAAAACCTTAATTTTATTGATTTTTATTAATTAAGTTTAGCGGTCGACGGACGAGAGATTTTAACTTCTTAACGAAACCTTAAGCCTCGGTACTTTAATCTAGCTCGAATAGCTAGAGATTTTCTATGCATTTCTTTAATTAGTGTTTGCGTAAAAAAGGTATTTAATATTGCAAAAGATATTTGCGATTATCGTCGCGGTAATTTATCGCTATTTGTTGGATTGCTTCTAAGCGATTAGGAATATATATTCGTAAGGTCGTAACGGTCGTCAAAGTACTTGCAATTGCAAAACACTCGGTTGATAAAGTATCTGAATTCTGTCTGCTCCCCAAGGCTCAAGGGAGCTAATTCCTTCTATACGATTAGAAGGAATCACGTGCACTAGCTAGCTAATAGGTTTACTTGTTAAGTTAAGGGTCCCTTGACTGCTGACATGCTAAGCGAGGCATGCCAAGTGGCCCGTGAACCATGGTTCACGAGTGAGCTTCCCCAACTACTACTACTACTACTATTACTACTAGCTAAAGTCGATATGGATATACCGACACCGGCAACTCTCTCTTTAGCAAATAGTGCTTTGCCAACTGCTATATCGACCGAAAAAAAAAGGAAGGTAATTAAACAAAGGAAAAACAATCTCCCTCTTCCTTTTACAGCGGCCTTTCCACCCATCTATCGACTTGCACCTTCAAGGTATTAGTCAAAACTAGCTCTTGCAAAAAGATATTAGCCTTGATTTTGGTTATAGCGTTAGCAAGGTTAAATTTGCCTCCGATCCAGCGTACCTTAAAGAGCTCTCGCCTTTCGTATAACTCCCGAATAACTATAATATCGATCATTAAACGCTTCTCTTTAATAGTCCTTAGTTTTATTATGCACTCGTAAAGCGAGTAAGAGTTAATGCACACGATTACAAGGAAGTTAAGGATTCTTAGCTAAGCCGTGATTTAAGCAAAGGTAGTCGACATAGCAATAGCTATATCGATACTTAAAGACATCGCGTATAGCTCAAAGGCTAATACTGCTTTTATCACCCTTTTGCACTTTTGTAACACTTAATATAAGATGTTACCCGTTAAAGTGAACTCGTTTTCATTTACGTAAGCCTTATTGCTAAAGATAGCTACGAAACCGATCTAAGAGCTAAAGTCAGCGTTGTTAGCAAACGCTTCGTCTACGAATACAAAGAGCTTCGCAATCTTCAAGTCTAAAGGCACGTAATAGATCCTTCGAGTTGAGTGATCGATCAGCTATTAGATCACCTTGTTAAAGGCTTTGTAGTCCTCGTCTTTCGGTTCTTAATGCTAGACGGCCATCGATAGAGCGCAAGATGCCTTTAGATAACAAATAGTAGCCAAATACGCCCTTCGGGCACGTTGCTCCAAGTACTCTTTAGCTCGTGTGGCTAAATCGAGCTTAATCACTGTAAGCCTCTCACTTTGCCCTTTTTGCCCAACTGATAGTCCGAACCCTTTTTTATCTAAAGATAGCTTGCATCTATTAAAAATCATTGGCTCGGCGTGTATAAGGGTCTCCATTTCTTTGCTCTTTAGCTTGGATTTGACCAGCTCCTTCTCTTCCTTTGCCCTTATAGTTAGATTAACAACTATAAGAACATCATCCGTTTGTAAAGCAGCTATTCTTAGCTGATCTTTGTTAGTTAATACAAAGAGGCAAGAATCAAAGCTCGATTGCTTTATCTCGAGGTTGTCCGTAAAATGCTTTGAAAAACGCTTATACTAATGCGTTCTTGCCTCAAGGATCTTATACAAAAAGCCAGTCATAAAGAACAAAGTGCCGAAGGGGAATCGATAAGTGATCTCTTTAAGTAGTCGCACGACGATTATTCGAATAAGCTTCGTGCTTAACTAAGTGTAAGCTTAAGTGATATCCTTGCTATAGACCTGACACTCGTAGTCTTTTATTAAAAAAAGAGCTAAAGCACAACAGAGTCTTTGGCCCGCTCGCTGCACCGTAAGTGACTCGGTAAATACCTTCGTTTTGCTTTTGTCCTAGAAGGCTTAGACCATTATACGAGACTTCTCGTATAGCGTAAGTGTTCCCTTGCCCTTGATCTTATCAACAAACCTAGATCCGAAGATCCTAGCGCTCTTAACGCGTAAGTCGGTGCCCGAGATCACTTAAAAGATGCCTTAGGCCATCAATCTAGCTAATTCCTTTGCTCTAGACTCTTGAAATAGTGCCCCGAGGCTCTTAATGATTCCCTCGGCTCGTAGCTTAGCTAAGAGCTTATAGTCCCGGCGTTCTTTATCGGTAATCAACACTTCGGAGTCCTTAGTAAATAAAACGTAAGAATCGCTCTCCTTTTCGTCGAGCACGGTCGGGATACTAAGATCGTACTTCTAGTAAAGTATCTAGACCATTAGTATTATTAACTTCTAAGGATTAGCAAGTTAAGGGTTAAAAGGGTTGTTTGTTAGTCTTAGCGAGCTTCTTGGATTAAGCGATTTCGGTGGATTAAGCGAATGTTAAAGTTTAAGCGAATTTCGTATTTCCAGCTCTTTTTCGCTTTCGCTCTAATCATCTTCTACCTTTTCTTCCACTTCTTTTTTTACCTTTACCTTAAGTACTTGCAACTCCTTTAGCAGCTTTTCAACTTCAGAGTAGTAAGGTTTTATTAAGGTTGACCTGAATTCCGTAAGCTTCGGACAAGCTATTGTGCACGTATGCCCTTGCTTGCTAAGCAGCTAAAAGAGGCCCTTCCACCCTTGGTTTTCTCGCCACACTAGCACCCGTGAGCCAATAAGGAGGTCTAAGGTATGCTCCGTAATTGGGCTATTCCTCCTCTTGAGCGCGTCCTTAACTTGCTTCGTAGCGTAGCATTTTCGTACTTCTCTTATAGCCTTGTTGATAGCAGCAGCACGCTCCTAAGTAGACGCGGCAGGTCGATCTTGCTCCGTCAGCCTCGGTAAGGTCTTAAAAACGAAGAGTGTAAGAATCAGGCCATTAGGTCCAGCTGTGTCGTTAATAGCTTTAATAGCTATTTGAAGCCGGTCCTCTCTTAAAGCTTTTAGAAGCTCCTTTGTGACGATCTTAAAGGCGCGTCGCATAAAGACGTGGTAGCGTTCTACTAGCTCGACGCTATGATAGGCTTCCATAAGCATCTGCCTTAAAGTGCTGCTAATACCTTTAAAGTAGCCTCGGAACGTTGCCGAATTGAAGTTGGTTCCGAGATCGTGCACTACGTTTATAGAAGGTCCGACGTAAGTATTAACTTAACATCGACTGAATCTCTTAAGTAAGTGCTGTGCAGACATGCTTTTAAAGAAGGTAGCGGCCTGAAAATTAGTAGAATCGCAAACGACGTGTAATACGTTCTTGCCGTCAAAGTGCATTACGTCCACGTATACTATATCATTAAAGTCAGTATCGTCTTTAAGTCTGATACTAAACCTCCTTGGAAAGCGTCCGAATACTTAGCAATAGTAGCAAAACTTTTGGATGTTGTAAAGCAAATCTCGCTTAAATTCGTGCTCGGCCCTTTTAAGAACAGCAGCAAATCGACCTGCTAAAAAGTGGCCAAAACGCTTGTGGATAGTCCTTAATTGTTCTTCCGTAAAGTGGCAGTAAACGGTCTCGCCTTCGGTACTATAATAAGTAGCAGCGTGCTTTTTACTTAGTAGTATCTATACGTGCTTAAACATCTTTACCATTAGTATTTCCTTCTTCCTTTAAACTAGCACGTTCCGCAAGTTATCCAAGATCACCTTATGCTTGTTTATGTTAGCTAATAAGAGTAAGAAAGGTACGTCGCTTTTTATAACGTGGAACTCCACTTGACTTAGAAGGGTATCTAAGGTAACTGCTTTAATAGAAGTGGCAGAGCCGATACCGTATTTAACGGACTTCTCTTCTGCCCGAGATATATTTAATTAGACCTCGGGGTACCTCTTTTAAAGTGCTCGTAGCTGGAGCAAGCTAGCGGTAGAGAAATTAGCTGCTCCGCTGTCAATCATAAGGCCTATGAACACGTTTTCAGAATACTTAAAGGCTATATAAGTCTCTGCTTTACTCGCGAGCATACGCGGATCTTGCTCGGGCATCTTTTAAGTCTCTACTTAGCTAGTAAGAGCGTAGAATGCCGTCTGAATCTCTAGCTGTTTGTATACCTCGTTAGCGTTAAAAGTGCCGTAGGTAGTCATAAAACCTTCCGACATATTAGCGTGGCTGCCCGATTCGAGTAGCTCGTTTGATAAGCTTGCGATGAACTAATCGAATTCTTCCGTAAATACAAGTAGCAAGCCTTCGATCGACGCTACGTATTAAGAAAATTTGCTTCTCGTCACCCTTTTTGCGTCCTTAAAGGCCTAGAACTTGGCGACGGATGCTTTCTTTTCGTCGAAGGTGTAGTTAGTGCTCTAGCAACTTGGCTTTTTGCAAACAAAACACCTTTTCTCACCCTTAGTAGCCTTGGCAGCTTTTTTACCTTCGAAGTATTAGCGGTCTTGAATAAAGCATTCGTATTCTTCGTCCAAATCGAAGTCAGCCTCTAAAGTGTTGTGCTAAAAGCAGGTGTGATCGTGTAGCTCGTTAGAGCTCGCGTAAGCTCTACTCGCTTTGGCAAGAGGTCGGGAGGTCTTAGTTGCAAACGCAATAGCTTTGCGAATGTCGGCAACTGCGGCGGTAGAAGTAAAAGCAAGGTTCATTCGTGCAATCGTAGTCTTTAGCACGTTTTTACAAGCTGAATATAGCTTGTTAGCAAAACTTCGATCATCTTTTAAACCTGGTCGTAAAGAGCCTTGAATCCCTTTGAGCTTTTTAACGAGCTTCTTAAAGCACTCGCTAAGCGAGGTCCTTAGATTCTCTTTCCTGATCAAATCTAGCGAAATTTCTTTTTAACGGTCGTATTTTGCTTGCCGCCGGTGGTCAATCTCGAAGTGGTCCTTTATTGCAATAGCGTTTGCTTTGAAAGTCGGAAGTCTGGCCTTGATAACGTGATTATAATAAAAGGTTATAGCTTCTTTTGTAAGCATAATCGAGAACGCCGCTAAGTAGTCCTCGGAGGTCAAACCGTATCGACTTGCTTAGTCAGCAAAAATTTTTAATTGAGTCTTGAAGTCATCGTCGGGTCTTGAATACTTCAGCTCTTTAGGAAAGCTTCGCGCGAACAAAGCTAATTCCTTCGCTCTTGGGTGAAGGTCTGCTGCTCTTAGCTTAAGGAAATCGTTTCTATCATCGTTAAAAGCGCTTGAAGTGCCGTACGTAAGCGTGCTTTGCCTGGCCAATAGTCTGATCGGTAAAGGGTTACCGATATAGTTGCCGGTGGTCCGTCCTTTTCTAAGGTCCTTAAGAGGCTCATTTCCGAATCCGGGGTCCTTTGAAGGTCCGTTTCCGAATCCTTTTGATGGTCTAGAAAGGCCGTTCTTACTTCTTCCGTGCTCGTAGCCTCGATCTCTTTGCCAATCTCCTCCGTTTCCTCTTCGTCGGTCATCGTCAAGATCGCTAAGGCTATTCGGGTTACCGGCTAAGGCTCTAGCTTAGTGATATCCGTACCTTTAAGCGCGCTCTTAGCGATCCTCATACCTTTAGTATCCTTCTTATCGATACGTAGCTTGTTAAGAGATCTAAAGAGCTTGTCGGTACGTCCGAAGGTGCTGGATCCCTCTTTCGGGTTGCTAAGGTTGGGCACGGAAATCTGCACGCTGTCCTTAGTGAAAGCTAATTTTGTCCGGAATGCTCTTAGGTTTTGGCGGGTCCTCTTTTAGCGTATAGCTGCTATTGCCTTGCGTATTGTCAGGCCCGATTATGTTTTCGAAGCCGTTATTGTTGCTACTCGGCCTTGGATTTTAAGAAACCCGGTTGTAGCTCTTGAGAAAGGGGTTTAAGGGCCGCTAAGGTGATTTTAGCTCTTGTATGATTAGCGTATTGCGTAGCGGTTGCTAAATTGAGAGCGTCGAGTACGCTAAAGTGCTTCGTCGTAGCCCTTCGTTAAATTGTATAACGTAAGTCCGTAACTCCGCTATTTGCCTTGCTATCACCTTTATATTTTGCTCTATATTCTTCTTCTCTTTCGCAAATTCTTCGCGTAACCTTCGAATCTCTTCCCCTTCCTTTTTTAATACTTCTTTTTCCTTCCTTTTTGGACTTCGTAAGGGTAATAAAGGTGGTTGAGGCGTATTATCTTCGTCGTCCGTAAGGTTTTCGGCGGTCTACTTTGAATCGAAGCTTAAGGGTGCTGCTTGCTGCTCTTTTATTTCCTAGAAGGTTCATTAGTGTTGCTGCTCGTCGTTCAAGAGCTTGACCATCTTATTAGCGTAGCCCCTTTGCTTTAGGGGACACCATACGCCTTTAGATATCAAGTGTTCTTTAAGGCTAATAAAGGTAGCAAACTTAAGGCCTCGTCCTGTATTGTCCTCCGTCATCGTAAAACTCGTTTAATCTTAGCGTGAGAAAGCGTGCCGGAATAAGCTTTATAAGTCGTAATCCCTTAGCCTTTTACACTTCGCATCTAGGAAGTCGTTCATTATCGCTCGGGCCGTGATCTCATTGTCTGGCCTTGCGTATAGTAGCTCGTTTAAATCAAATGAGATGCTCGACATCTCGTCGTCTAGTCCTTTCGAAAGGCTTGAGAGTCCTGGGTATAATGGTCCTTTTAGCTGAATAGCTAGGGGTTCCGTAAGTAGTGATGAGACTCGAAGGGTATAATACTTTACTGCTCTTTGTCGGCTGGACTCCCTACTTAGAGGTCTAATTGCTCGATCGGCTATAGTTATTGTCTGCTCGTACGTAGATCGATCGTGTTAATTGGGTTTGCTGTGTGTAGCAAGCGCGGCTCTACAGCTTTAAAGGTTGTATAAAAGTGACTTGGTTCGGAATCACTCTTTTATAAGAATAAAAGAAAATCGGTAATATAAAAAGCGACTTGGTACGGAATCGCTCTTCCGTTGTAGAAAGAAGGAGGTATCGTAGTAAAAGGTATCCTCGCTATAAAGTATTCCTAGCTTCTCTATGATTGATCACTTAATAGTAAATCAACTACTGATTAATGTTGGATTGCTTTTAAGCGATTGGGAATATATATTCGTAAGGTCGTAACAGTCGTCAAAGTACTTGCAATTGCAAAACACTCGGTTGATAAAGTATCTGAATTCTGTCTGCTCCTTAAGGCTCAAGGGAGCTGATTCCTTCTATACGATTAGAAGGAATCACGTGCACTAGCTAGCTAATAGGTTTACTTGTCAAGTTGGGGGTCCCTTGACTGCTGACATGCTAAGCGAGGCATGCCAAGTGGCCCGTGAACCAT